CATTGTATTCTAACAAAGGAATGGCTCAGAGGTGCACAGAGGAGGTCGTTCTGGAGACAGTTACTGCAGTGCCAGTTTGGATCCATGTGGAGGAGGCAGGGCTCAAACCTCTGGGCCCAGATGTTTCCTCTTTATCAGATCCCACTGACTGGGAAAGCAGATGCACCGAACCCAGAGTTTACGGGATATAAAAAAAAAAAAACGATAAAGAAACGGACTCCAATCCTCACACTGCCTGTTAAACGAAAATATTTTTACAGATATTTTTTTTCTTCTCCTTTTAATTCTCCCTGAATGCGACTGTGAGTCAAACGGAGTTTTCTCCTGAGGGACGGATGTCGGCCATCTGCAGCGACTTTACCGCCAGCCCTGGGAATGTGCCGCACGTGAGCGCGTTTTCTCGTCCGTCTCAATCCCTACGTTTCGCCCTCGTCTTTGCTTTGGCCGAGCGTCGCGATCTCTCAGCTAATTATACTGTGAAAGATGTTTCCGAGGGAGATGCTCTGGCTTTTTGGCCTTCCAAAGTTTTTTTTTAAAGTTGGCCTCCGCGGAGGGAGAGGCTAAGTGTTGATGGATCTGCTAGCAGCTGTGCTGCGTGCTAAGTGTCGTGTACTGCATGTGTACACGTCCACAGTGACAACAGTGATGTGTCACTGTTAATCAGGCACGATCCTAGATCACTGACACAGCTATCCTGCTTCCAAACGAACGCAGCGTGAATCCTCCGGAGGCAGAATTTCTCTCTCTGTATGAACTGAAGCTGCGCTCCTGTGTACATTTCCTGGGCCACGCCCTGGAGGTTGGGATAGGAATACAACCTCCAAGGTTGTATTCCTCCGGTATTCACGACTAAGATGGCCGTCCATAGTATAAACTGTACATTTTGGCCCAGGTTTTTACAGCTTTGGAGCACCTCTGTGTCTGCGCTGTTTTAAGTAGAAACGCATGCTCGTTTTTTTTTGTTTTTTTTTAAAGTCAGCTCTACTGCAAAACAGTCGCTGCAAGAATAGCTTTTGTGGGAGCATAAATCATGTTCTAGAACTTCGGTGACTGGAGTGGATCCAGTTTGGCAACGAACAGAATATAATACTGTATATATAGAAGAAGAAGAAGAAGAAAAAAAATCTGCAACCATTTGTCAACACATACAGTTCAAAGTTCAACACATCTGAGGCCATATATAAAATCAAGAAACATTTTAAACCAATGAACCGGGGCCACATGGTGAAAGTGTCCCTCAGTCCAACAAAGACATGTCATTACAGTAATTGTTCGGTGTAAATTGACCATCGATATGAACGGGAGTGTGAATTGTTGTGTGATTGTGTGATGAGTGTCCAGGGGGTCCAGGGTGTAGTGTCCCACCCTCACTGGGTGACT